TTATTAAGAGTAGGGGTAGTATTTAATATAATAAAAGGGGGAAACTTTTCGTTTTGTTGATTATTATAATAAAATTCCTCGTATTCAATAATAACCATTTATAACCAGTATAAATAGTTATTACTAATATAAAAGAAATAATACTAATAATAATAGTGAATAGTAGTAATAGGTAGTAGTAGTTAAATAGATAAAACTGTTGAATTGCTTGCTTCCTCAAAATCTGTTCTAAGTGGAAAAATCCATCATATATATAATACATTTTTTCCTCGCAAACCTTTACTTAGTTTAGTAAATACTTAATTAGGTAATTACTATAATAGGTAATTAACTGTAAAAACCTTATTATAAAGTTAATTATTACGGCTTTATTTAATCCGATTCGGATATTCTAGATCCGTAGTATTATTATAGTTATAGTTTATAGATTTGTTACGGATTACTAGTTTCCGTTGTTTTGGTTTCAAATCTTAACTTAATATTAACTTTAGTCAATAATAACTGTATTATTAACTTTCAGGGAATTGTTATTCCGTTAATATATACTTTTTATGGTAACTAACCTAATATATAGTTTTTATTCGTTTTAGCTAATCGTAGGAATTACTATAATAGGTAATTTATACGAGTGTGCTTTTTGTTTTAATTAGATAACGTTATGGTTACTTTATTCCTTTTAGTTATATTAATATGTGATTAATAGTTATAAGGATAATTGTTTAATTATTAGGTATAGTTTTACTAGTTACACTAGTATTAGTAATCTTAGCTTCACATCTTTTTTATAGCGCTAGTAATATTCACTTTTACTTAAATTCTCCTTTTAGGGGGTACTTAGCAGTTTTAGATCCAGCGACCCGCGCCCCGTGCAGCGACAAAAGCAAGTAAACTCATGAAGTTGGTGGTGGTGTGGACGTTGTCATTGGCCGACAAAATTGAGATAGAGTAAAACTTCCAAGACTCTCCTCGACCAATATGTATGATTTCTTTAGCGAGTAGGAGTGATAACCAGCCCTCCCTTTGATGAGACAAGGATTCTCATCAGATTGGTTGGTTGGGAATCACATGCGGGGTACTTTTGGGGATGTACGAATCCACGACCGAAACATGCTGGCACGGGACGGGACACTACACTAGGCTGAACAGAATCGGATTGCTGACCATTTGATTTGTAATTGTGTAGTGTCTAATACATACATACTGGGCAGCTGGGGCACAGCCATCCTTTCCACAGAGCATGGTTGATGTGTAGTACCAAGTGCGGGCTTACTTGATTGGCCTCTTGGTCGAAACAGACAATCGAGACATGTCGCCCAGCAGTACAGTTGTTCGGTGGCTCAGCCGGCGTGGTGACATGACGTCGTCCACATGAATACTGATCATTCGCTCGGGAAATACATTTGAGTTGCGAACCGTTTTTCTTCATATTTACCCATCCGTAAATTTCCCATTTCATTCCTATACCTAGCGAACGTTAGCGAGTAACTTTGCATTGGTACGTAAGTCTACAGACGGGTATTCAATCACACCGCTGTCTATGATGTCTGTTGAAGCAATGAGTCTGTCGGGAGTCTCTCAACTTCGTGGCGGTGATGTTGGTGGTATTCTTTAATCGCCGGCACGTCCTTGTATAGGGCAAAGGGCGTCCGCGTCCAGCTGTACACATGTATCATCTATTTCCTTTTCCTATTCCGTACGTAGAACTCTGAACTCCAAGCCATCGGGAGGGCGGTGCAGTCAACTTCCCAATGGCATGAAATGTAGACTAGGCTGACTATGGTTCATGCATATCAGATGAAGGATTACTAGTAGCAGACAAGCAAGAGCTCGGAATATATTTGAAGCTTGAAGAGTAGATGCCCAGTTAATTAAAGACTACCTACGATTAGAGTACTACTGTTTGAGATTTACGTGCGACGTACGTTTGACACACATTGTGAAAGGCTTTTGTATTCATTAATGGATAACCATGATACCGTTAACCCTCAGGAGTGATCGATCGACTTACAGTCTCTCGACAGACTTATACCAAAGTCATTGCGGGAGTAGTTTCATCATCCTGCAGTACCAAAGATCCATTGCCTGCTTCCTTGTGAAGTTGCCCTCTGAGAAGGAAGCACTTTGTAGACCTTGGATCAGCACTAAGCAGTTTCCAGCATTCGCCGCCCGCAACCAACCCTCAAAAGCTGGGCGCAATCGGTCGGGGGTTTAAATGAGTTGCTGTATCCTTCCCTGCGGCTATGCGTTGACGGATATTCTTGAACTTTAACCCACGTTTGCAAGCTATCAGCGTTTGAAAATGACCACCCAGATCCCCTCCATCTACAAAGCCGTCTTCCTCTACTGGGACCCCCCATGCGCGCTCTGGGGTGCTTTCATGTCCTTCTTCACCCGCGACTGGATGCTTGACCAATTCTTCCTCGACTCCCACACCGGAACGCGCGATGCAGCCCACGACCTGCTTCTCTACCAGGGAGGCGGAGCCATGGTCGGCTGTGCTATCCTCAACGGCGTGCTCCTGCGATACACAACAGACATCGGTGTTTGGAAGATCGCGCAAGCAGCTATTCTAGCGATCGACCTTTCACTTCTTGCAGGCACCTTCGAGGTGTTTGGGAACCAAGGCCGCCTGTCTCCTTCGACGTGGCAGGCCGGGGACTGGGTGGGCATGATCATCACGATTGGGGTGACGGTGGCGAGAGTCTCCTTCTTGGCAGAGCTGGGCTTCAAGAAGCAGAAGACTAAATAACGGCTGTGCGAAGATGATCCTCTAGATTAAAGCATGAAGCTATGATGGCGCACGGTAGACATGCGGATTGACGAGGATTGAGGGATCGCGGAATAAGACAGGATTGGACCTCACGAAAGATATTGGTGATTGGATAACAATGTTATTCCATAGCGTCAGCATTGAATGGACATCTCAAGGCAAAACCCTTAGACCCTATTCCATCATTTACAATTTGCTGATAAAGTGAACCTCCTTGTCTCCCTTCTCGCAAGGGAACGTCGGTGGCTCCCGGTCAACCGGCCCCTGGAGCCACCTTATCATCCGCTGGGTCGCCTTGCGTGGGTTCATCCCATCAGCTGCCGTTGATACCATGATTAGCACCTTTCATAAAGCTCTTGGGACCGCAGCTAGCACTCACCGTATCCGATGAAGGGAATGGCACTCCGGTACCCCATCATATCCACAATCTTCTTCGGAATCTCGCCCGAAAGCGCCCTTCTCGGATCGATCCCGATCATCAAGTTCTCAATCGGCCGAATGTACGGCTGACAGTACTGAATTGTCGCCGCATACCTCGGCTTCTGGCTGCGATTCGCTCCGCCAGAGTGCCACGTCGTGCCCAAGAAGTAAATCACACTTCCCCTCGGACATACCGCCGGAATCGCCTCATGCTCCGCCCCGATCCTATCACTCCCCCAAATATGCGATCCGGGGATGATCCGCGTGGCGCCGTTGGTCTCGGTGTAGTCATCCAACACAATCATCGTCGCCGCCGTGACAGGCAGTCTCGGGCGCGGGAGGTGCGTGACGCTGTCATCGTGATGAAGGACTTGGTTCTTCTCGCCCGGGTTGATTACGATCGTCTCCATGATGTAGATGAGATAATCCTCATCGAGGAAGTAGTCGTTCAGAGCCAGCACCTGTGAGAGGACCACGAACTTGTCGAAGGCGCGGGTCTTGCCTAGCAGGGAGAAGATCCGGTTCGTCTTGAATCCGTCAAAGGCGTGCATGCCGCCTTTGGGATCTTTGCCGTGGAGGCGGTCGATTTCGTCAACAGCATCTTTGGCTTCGGCCTCGGTGAATGCATTTTGGATTACAACATAGCCGTTTTCGAGGACTGTCTGGACGTAAGCTTTGATAGTTGGGTCAGTTGGCAGAGGCTTTTCTTTGCGGATGTAGTAGTCCACGGGCACGGGGTCAGCAGCTTGGGGATGTTTGTGGGAGGATGATGAAGGCATAATGAAGGGCTTAGGGTAGACCGTAGAAAGCACTTTGTTCATGAACAGGGCAATGGAAGGAAGAGGGAAATCCATCTCCTCATCGTTCGGAACAACGTGCGAGAGTTCATTCTAAATGTGGTGGCCCCTCGGGGGTACACCCCGGCGCATTTTCAAGCCAAGTGATGAGGATCATAGGCTATATGAACGTTACAAGGCCTGTATGTGATCCGCAAATCATATCACGGAGTATGTTGTACGAGCTGCTCGATTCGTGGCCTCCGTAAGCTGAGGTGAGACTTTAACCCGCTCGGCTGGGTCGGGTCAGCGCATGGCGACTCGTTGGGTGATACCAAGAAATGATCTCCCGTGATAAGAACTTTCGTAAGCTGTGTATTTGAGAGCGACCCTTCCTTATGTTCTAGCTGTCGCAAAAACATGACTAGATGGTACGCGGGGAGCTGCGCAAGTCGCAAGGAGCAGGTCAAAGCCCCATCTGTGCAGTTGCCTCGGGGGAACTCCAACTTTTATCTGCATCGTTAATCAAATGCATTCAAACAAGTCTTCAATCCGAAGCAAGTATTGAAAAGCTGACTTGGCTGCTTGTCGTCTCTGGGTGACTTCCCCTGCCATCACTTCTGTCTTCGTCCTGATAGTTTACACGAAGTCCTTTTACAGTCACGAATTCTCGCTGAGACTGTCAGAATTCTTAAGATTGGAACAGCCTCTTTGCAGTACCGTTCTCAGGTTCCTACCAAGGCCTCTTGGATGACTACGCTCGATTGATTGTGTTCGAGAAATATGCATCGGTGTCCCGTCATAGCTCTATGTTGATTGGAGACATGGCCAAGTCAAGTGCGTGCAGGCCTAGATACCAACTCAAGAATATGGAACTCCCTGTATCTGTAGTACTGCCTAAAGTACTGTGTCTATGGAAATTGATCGCTGTGTGTGGTATCTATCCATGTATGCATAATTATGTTTCCGTCCTCGTGGAGATATACCTGTGTCCCATTAAGTCCTTCCTTTCCTCGTCTTCCAAACCCCGCTGCTCATCTCAGCAGCGGCTCCGCGATCTCCAGAACACCTGCCATCATCTTCATGAAGATAGCTTCCTCGTGACGCGCGGACTCCTCGCGCTTCGACAATGCAACCATGTAGTCATTGCGAACCGCGCGTCCAATCTCACTGTTACGACTCTTCATTGACTCTGCAGACCCACGAATTGCCTCGTCGAGAATTTCCACAGGGGTGTCAACCACGCTGGAGAATATTTCTCCCTTGCGCAACATGACATGGTCCACGAGCCCATTTCTCATGCGCGCCATCGATCCTTTTCCTACAGACACAGACTGTTAGCTTCAAATATGTCGAACTTCAAGTTGAATGGATGCTACCTTTCTCATTGAGGCAATTGTCATAGCCCGGATTCATGAATTCGGCAACAACCTGCATGGGCTTTCGGCTTGCCAGCTTTTGAGCACTGTTGATCTTGGTTATGACTTCGGCCTTGACGCGCTTGAAGCCCTCCTGATGAATTTTCAGCTGGGTCTGCAGCGGTGCGCCGATCTGCGTGACTTCGTCCTCGTCTTGTCCAATCTGGGCCATGATGTTGTTGTGAGTCAACGTGAGTTCTTGCCATGATTTCACAAGAAACTCATCGAGGTCGCTGGGAATAACCTCGTGAAATACATCAGCCCATTTATGCAAGTACCTGGTGGAGAATGGCGCGAGGAGCTTTTCGTTGAAGTTCTGCGTTCTCCAGACACCGCGCCGCACGAAGAGTGCCTTCAACGTCGAATGGAAGATGCTGAACCAGCCTTCGACAGAGGTTGGCGCTTCCTCGCTACCATGGCCTGCGGCGACATTCATGGTCTTAAGGAGCTGGTGCCTGGACTTCCAAAGATTGTTGATGCAATCGTTGGTGATTGAAGACATTTCCTGCAGAAAGTTAGCCTCTGGCAACATAGTCGGAAAAGAGGCAGCCGGGGAACATGGCAATGCAAAAAAATGACAGCAAGACCTTTCTTCAACTTACCCTGTCGAACTTATCCAAAATTGAGGACAGTGTGTTTCTGTCCAACGCTGCAGAGGAGCCTGGTTGATTCTGCGTCCAAAGAGAGACAGAGTTCAAGATCTGGCAAATGCCGACGAGTACTTCCTTGTGCTTTGCAATACGCAGCTCTTCGGTAAGGCTTTGTGCATGGCGCTGGAGCTGTGGAATTTGAGTATCCTCAATTTGCATGAAACCGGGAACATCCCCCGTAGCACCATCAGACAATCCTTCCATGGACTGGTATGCATGACTGCTGGTGCAGAAAACAGGCAGATTGTTGGAGATCTTGTTGTCGATTCGGACCTTTGCAGCATCTTGCTTCCGATTGGCAGTCTGTTGACGGGCCCTATCTCTTGTTAGTTGTTTCATCCATCGGCGTGGGGATATTTCTCTTTCTTGCTCACTCTTTCATAACGCGGGTGAAATAATTCTTCAATGTATCGCGGGAAAGCTCATTTCGCTTGTCAATGCAGGCCACGCGAACACTCTCGACAAGCTGGTGATGATCGTCCTTGACATTGTCGAGCTGCTTTCTGCATTCCTCAAGCTCAGAGATCTTCGTTTTCTTGCGTGGTTGCTCCAGGTCCGAATCATTTGCAGATGAATTGGTCCCTCTGGACTTGGTTTGTAACTTTTTAATCTTGTTCTCAAGATTCTTTATCTCCGGCTTCTGCTTGAGGGATTTCTGCTACATGTTCAGGACTCCAGGCTTCAGCTTTCTTTTGAAGTTCTTCACCGCATCATTGAGGTTGATGTGGTCTGTCTTGGAACAGATGAACGTGACTGATGAGAAGGATCCGTCAAGGTTGAGCTGACACTTGAAATTGTCGCTCATCAAATCCCTGGCTGCCTTATTGTCGACGGCTCTGTCGATGGGAGCCACGATCCAGATTCCGGCGCAAGACCTCATGTACTCCCTTGCCATGGATGACCTAGCGGCATCGGCGTCATGGGTTCCAGGCTGTGATTGAGAACTGCTATCAGCTCACATGTATCTCCCAGAACATTCGGAAAGCTTACCAAGTCTGCGATCGTCACGCCATTAGACAGTGCTTCTGCCTTAGTGAAGATTCTAACAGCCTTAACCAAGGGCCAGTATGCGACTGCGTCCACGTCGTCCTTGTCTGTCGAGTCGATGTAGCATTCGATCATCTCACGAAGTTCTTCGGCCTTCTGGGCTTTGAATGTTTGGGTCATCCCCAGAACTCCATGGACATTCGGATGTCTCATCAAATCATGCACTGAGCTTTCCAGAAGAACTTCGTTGTCCATGTTAGCGTATACTGCTCTGGCCTTTGCAACGGAGCGATCAGTATCGTCACCGCCAAGGTCTTCTTCACCCTGGCCCTCATCGCTGTCATTGCTCTCCACCTCTTCGTTGTCATCTTCATCGTCGAGGTTAAGATTGCCTGCAGCATTTTTTGCAGCAACATCGTCAAGAAATGTCTTGATCTCGCGAATCCACTCGTCAGGAGACACGAAGTCTATCTCTGCTTTGAATGGGTTTTCATCGTCATCGTCGTCATTGTAAAAGATCTCTGTGACACATGCGGTGCAAGCGCGCATGCAATTTGTCGGGAGCAGGCTGAAGATAGTTAGCACAGGTTGAACTCAAAATTAGAGGAGAATATGTACTTGGCCTCGCCCAAGAGGGCATTGATGGTCGAACTCTTGCCATCGCCCGTGTTTCCAAACACTCCGATGGTGATCTTGTTTGTTTGAACAGCTCGCTTTCGGACTGTCGCAATCTGCCGCACCCAGTTCGAAGCAACACATCTCGTCTCCATATTGAGCTTTGTGGATTCAGCGATGTTCTTGCAGACAGGCTCCAATCTCTCCAAGATGGGCAAGGCCTTATCGATGTGTTTCTCCCAAACCTTCGGATCCTTCTCATGCTCGAGTCTGTCAAGAACGGGGAAGGTAATGTTGCCTGAAGGTTGCTTATTACGAGAGGCATTGTGCCCTGGGGGCGCGTAGCCCGGCTCAGCTTTGACGGACTTGGCGCGAAGCATGATGGATGTATTTGTATTCGTAGCGGAGATGAGAAGTGGCTGAAGAATCTGTTTGATTGGTGATGATAAACTGCTCAGAGTCTCATGCCGTCCCAAATAATGTGGAATGGAAAATTGATAGGGGAGCGGTAGTGAGATTCGAGAGAATGAATGGTAATGTTGGAGGTGAAAGATGAGGAAGTGAGAAAGTGAAGATTGCCGAGATATAAAAAGGGAGGATGGTAAATAGAAGCCTGTGAGCTGGGAGGACCAGGAAGCAGCAAAGTGAGATATCAAGGGAGAGCTGCTTCCTAAGGTAGGTAGTTTGTTGAGCAACGGAAGGCAAAATTAAGATGGAACGATGATGCGATAAGGAAGGAGCAAAGAGGGGGGGAAAGACTTGGTGTGAGGATCAACATGTGCTTTTCATTTGAGTGAAGCAGAGGTGGATGTGAACCCTGCAAATAATGAGAAGAAGCAAGAGGTGGAAGAAGTATCGAAGGTAACTGACTTGAAGTACCAAGGCCTTCCTGATGTGGTTGAAGAAGTCCAAGCTGTGATGGTGTTGTGAAAGAAAGGGTTGAAGTTGGAGGGAGCTCAGTCGAGAGAAAGTGAGGATATATATACTCCTGCCGGTAGAGTCCACTGTTGAGGAAGCCTGAATCAGCTGGCGACTTCCAAATATTGAGAATATTTCTCTGTGGGAGCAAGAGCTGGTGTTGCTCCTTCCACTGCAACTTTCACCGAGGCAAGAGCAGCCACCTCGGTGAGCCACCCACTGCACACCGAAACACCGACTATGGCCGACAGAAGCCAGAAACAGATAGCGCGCCGGTGGAAAACGGCCCCAAAGATGGCAAAGATCTTATCAGATCAAAAAGCGGCCCCGTCCATCCCGCTTTAAACCCCGCGGTTCCGCCACGAACGTCACACCAGATCCCTCGCAACCCACGCGACTCGCTCCTGCCCCTCCCGAGTCATAAAGCCGATAATTTCCCTCAAGAACACATCACCTCACACTTCACACACCAGACTGTCACTCTCATCGATCCCTGCATCTTTTTTAGAATTTTTTCTTGTATTCTTGTCATATTTTCACCGTATGATTCACTGCATCTTTTATCGCATCACATACAGAAGGAGCAGCAAAGCGCAAACCACCGCAAAGATGGCCTCCGAACCACCACCGCCCGAACTCTTCACAAACGCCCGCGTCTTCCTCCTCAACCCCTCAGCAACACTCACCACGGAGCCCACCTTCGCGGAGGCAATGCTCGTCGCCGACGGGCGCATCGCAGCAGTCGGCGCCGCCGCCGACATCGCCTCCGCGCACCCCACCGCCCGCGTCACCGACCTCGCCGGCCGCACCGTGCTGCCCGGCTTCATCGACGGCCACATGCACTTGCTGCTCCTCGGCCAAGGGCTGCGCAAGCTGTCCCTCGACGCCTGCACCTCCCTCGAGGAGATCCGCGCCGCCATCAAGGCCTTTGCTGCTGCGAACCCCGACGTGCCGCGCATCATGTGCAAGCTGTGGACGCAGCATGTCACGCCGGGTGGTGTGGACAGGCATATGCTGGACGACATTGACCCACGGCCCATCTTTATTGACACCAAGGACTTGCATTCTACGTGGTGCAACACGGCGGCGGTGAAGGAGCTCAGCATTGAGGACATGAAGGACCCCGTCGGAGGGAAGATTCACCGCGACGGGGAGGGAAAGGCGACGGGCTTGCTGAGCGAGGCGGCGGTGCTTACCCTCGTGTGGCCTCATCTCGCGCAGGTTGCGCCTAAAAGGGACAGAATGGACGCTATCAAGGCAGCGGTGGAATCGTACAATGCATCAGGCTACACAGGTCTCATCGAGATGGCCATGGACGAGCCGGCATGGGATGCCGTGTGCTCACTCCGCGCCGAGGAACCAGACCTACCGATGAGAATTCACGCCTACTGGCTCATCAAGCCCTCGGAAACAGAAGAAGAGCGCTTCAAGCAGGTGGACCGCGCCATCGAGCTCCACACGGAACTCAACAAGACAACCTCGCCCGACCTGCGCATCGTGGGCATCAAAGTCATCACCGACGGCATCATCGACGCCTGCACAGCCTACCTCTCCGAGCCCTACGCTGCCGCCGGCTCCCCGCCGCCCTTCTGGAACGCCTCAGACCTCAACCCCGTGGTGGCCCGCGCCGACGCCGCCGGGCTGCAGATCGCACTGCACGCCATCGGCGACGCCGCGATCAAGATGGCCGTCGACGCGCTGGCCACACACGCAACGCCGGGCCGCCGCCACCGCATCGAGCACATCGAGATGGCCTCGCCGGCGGACGCGCGCCGCCTTGGCGAGCTGGGGCTCACGGCGTCGGTGCAGCCCGTCCACGCGGACCCCGCGATCCTCAAGGCGTGGCCGCGGCTGATTGGCGCGCGGCGCTGCGAGCGGGCGTTCGCGTACCGCGAGTTCGCGGACCACGGGGCGCTGCTCGCACTCGGATCCGACGGGCCCACGGCGCCCTGGGCGCCGCTGCAGAACGCGTACATCGCGGCGACGAGGCGGTCCGCGAGGGAGCCGGGCTACGAGGTGGTGGCAAATGAGCATTTCAAATTGGGCGTGTGCGAGGCCATCACGGCCGGGGCGTATGGGACGGCCAAGAGCGTGTTCGCGGAAGATCGGATTGGGAGCCTGCAGGAGGGCAAGGTCGCTGACTTTGTGGTTGCAGATATGGACTGGTCACCGCAGGGTCTGCTCAAGGGGGAGATCAAGGCGACTTGGTTCGCGGGGAAGAGGGTTTGGGCGGCTCCAGACTTTGCTTGAAAGGAAGGGTGTGGTGTGGTGTGGTGTTTGGCAGGCAGCGGCTATTGGTTAGATGTTTTGATGACGGCGGAGAGGGTTGTGTTGGTTGGCTAGGTTATTCGGCTCCCGCAAGTGTTGGCATATTTGTAAACGAACGTTCGTGTTGAGCCGCGGCTGCATGCTGCTTGGGTTTCATCCCATCTCGGTGGTGTTTCCGGGTTCGCGGCAGCAATGGCACTGTCCGCCCCAACAACTTGTCGCTCGACAGCGACAAGGGGGGGCCTCAGCTCTCGCCGATTGCCTCTTTGGGGAAAGATCGCAGATCTCCCCAAGTCGGGGCAAAGTCGCGCTCGATTCGATGAAGGAACGAAGAGATGCGAGAGGTTCGCTGCGAGCTCGGGCCGCCTATTCCTGGCATTCTTCGACTGTCAAGGCCGCCCAAAGGCTCTCCGATGAGATTGGATAGAAAGGTGGGATGCCGAAGAATTCCAAAACCAAAACACTGAACAGCATGAGACCCTGGAGTTTCTTCCATGTGGAGTCCTGCAAACCTGTGATATTCAGCCAGTGATGCCATGCGCGAACAGACGTGTGCAGTGCATTCCCTCCCGTCCTTCGCTCGCTTTCGCACACCACCACCACACCATTCCATCCACATGGGGCAATGACAGAGATGCCGCGGCTGTGTCATGGATGTCGTCTCGTCTGAGGCTCTGCGATGGGCGCAATACAAGAAGGCCTTGATCACCCCTAACACAGCCTGGCAAGATGCCCCGTCAGACCATCACAATCTCGCTAGCCTTTTTTTTTCTTCAAACCAGCTGGACCCTTCAAACGCACGGATTCTCCTCTGAATCTCACGAGTTCATCCTCCGGCAGTGAAAAAAATGCATCACCAACTGAGCCTGTCGGCCCTCGCGTGCCTTGCCCCTCTGGTCCTCGGCCTGCCGCAGCCGCAGCAGCCGCCGGCGCCATGTGCACCGGTCCAGATCGTCGTTGCCCGCGGTAGTCTCGAGGCGCAGGGTGCCGGGCTCCTCGGCAACATCGCCAACAAGTCGTCGATGGCGATTCCTGGCTCCATCATCACGCCGTTGGTGTATCCTGCGCAGCTTGAGCCGTACCCGCCTTCAGTGTCTGCCGGCGTCGGCAACATGACGCAGCTCCTCACCTCGCAAGCCCAGGCATGCCCTAATACCAAGTTTGTGCTGATGGGATACTCTCAGGTAAGGCCTCCTGCGTTCGATGGCGGAAACCAGCGCTGATATGTTACAGGGAGCGCAAGTTTCGCTTGATACCCTCTGCGGAACGACAGATGGGCCCAACTTCAACGCCACTCAGGCGCAAGCACCGATGCTTGGCAACAAGAGTAAGTCCCCTGCCTCAAGATAGCATGTATCTCATGCTAACGTGTTGTGCAGTCGCAGCCGTCGTCCTGATCGGCGACCCAACCAGCATCGCGACGCAGCCCTTCCAGAAGGGTACCGCCAAGAAGAACGGCGTAAGTCCTCTCCTCCTCCTACCGGCCCATCCCGACGTAGCTGACCATCTACCAGATCTTCCCCCGCCAAGACTTCGGCGCCTGCCAAGGTCTGACGTCCAAGTTCATCTCCTTCTGCGACGAGACGGACCTGTTCTGCGCGTCGGGCCAGAACCTGACAGTCCACCTGGGCTACTTCCAGAAGCAGGACTACGTTGACCAGGCCGTCAACTTCGTCGCCATGAACAGCAAGTAGACGTGACGTGCGTGTATCATGCCAGAGGTGGATGCTCGGCCAGGGAAGAGAGGTCGTCGTGTGGAGGACGGCTCATCGTATGCGATATCTTGGGAGGTTTTTCGTCTTTTTTTGGCAAGAGCATCCGGTCTTGACGATCGATTGACGCGCGCGAGGAGTTTGTGGGCAAAATACACTGGATGTAGCGTTGCGGTCTGGTTTTTTTCGTTTCGTGCTCGTCAGAAAAAGAACAGGGCCTCCGAGCCGATTGAATATTTTAATGATCAAGAAAGTCCGGCAGTTGGTGGCTGTGACCCTGTGGTGGGAAATTAGCGATTATGTAATGACAGGGCCGGGGTGAGCAAACAAAACATGGCCGTGCGTTGCCCTACACCGAGCCTACACCGAGAAGTGTCATACCTGTCAGAGGGCTGGATCAATCACTACAGCCATATCAGAAACATTTCTCCAAAAAGCTGTCAACTCCAAAGCTGGGCAATTATGAGACATTAGTCGGAATGAAGCACACTCAATTCGCTGTTGCCTCCGCAAATGTTTGCACTAATGGCGCATCGCTCTCAAATGGGTACCCGGCGCGCCTATGTACGGTGGGTTAGAAGCAATTCCGCCGAAAGCCACGCTCAGCTCATGAGCTATGTACACCTTAATGGTCAAGCGAAAAGTTTCTTGAACTTCAGGCCCCGCTAGGCAGCCCTCTAAAAGTCGGCTGTTTCGGTGACACACCTTCGATCAACATATTCTTCGCAAAGATGCCTCCTTATCCAACGATAAACTAACTCCCTGAACATCACTCTTTATCAAAATTTCGGCCCTCGCTATGACGGCCTTTCAGCCAGAAGTCGATTTCGTCAAGACAGCATCTCTTGACGACGAGAAAAATGCCCACCGCCCCTTGAGAGCTGAGACACATCATTCTCGCTTCGACCGAGGTATCCTTTGGCTTCAAAGGCATCCTGGCCTGTAAGTAGCAACTCACGAAACGTTTACAAGAATAGCACTAACCCCTTTAATAGTCTCCTTTGCCTACCCCAAATGGCGATAACTGCATACCGTGTTATGGTCGTTTTGGAAAGCAATAACCCACTTTCAAAAGCGATATGGATCGGCGTCGTCTTGGTTGTTGCGTGGGGTTTAGCAATGGTCTATGACCGATCAGAATGCATCGAAAGCGTTAAAACTACAGATCAAGGTGTTGAATCGACGGGATAGGGGGTTCAGTGGTTCTTCTCACAGATTCATAGAAAGATCGAGAACCAAAAACAGACAGACAGGCGTGGCCTTAGGCTAGTCACTAGCTTGTGGGAAGAGGAAGGTGGTAGAATCTCAACGGAGTATGCACTTCGATATCTCAAGCTATCGCTCTTTTCGAGCTTTTCCTCTGGGACCAACAAGGTGACAGAAATGAATCTGCATCAGGTTGAAAGTCGGCATAGTACAAATTGCTTCTGATGAAGCGTTGATCTTAGTGTCGCCTGGCAGGCTTGTCTTCCCTGCAAAGTGCACTAGGTTTCGCGATACCTCGAGTCAATAGTACGAGGGATCCGGGTTTGAATTCAAACATCATGATATCATATTTCAGTCTATCCCATTTATGTTTCCGCCCAGACCCCTCGAGAACACGTTGGACCTTCTATTTCTCAGGCACAACCAAGATATCGTCCACATTCACAACCTGCCCCGTCGCAATAGAGCGGTTCGCCGCAATGCCCGTCAAGATTGACGCGGCGCCGTCGACGTGACTGGCGGCTCTCATGTACTCGTCTGAAACAGGTTCTCCAAACAGATCTCTCAGCAGCACAAGGTCACCACCTCCGTGTGCGCCCTTTGCCTCGCCGAGATCGATCTCCTGGGGCGGGCCGAATAAGGGCCGCAGCAACATCGTCCTCTTCTCAATCGCGCCTTCGAGAGCTTGGCTGCCCCCGGAGTTGACGTAGCTCTTCTCGACAACCTCGACCTCCAGACGTCCGCCGGTTCCGTTGAAGTTCACCCGGAACCCCTCCCATGGGGCGTACGCCGTAAGCGAGTATGTCATAACAGCGCCGTTGCGGTATCGGATGAGCAGATTCATCGTGTCCTAGAATGCCGGTCAGCATTTTGATGCTAAAAAGGACTTTGCAATACCAACCTCGATAGAGATACCGTCTCCAAACACACTCTGGTCGCGGTAATACGCATCTTCATGCTCGGCATCAAGATACATCGCCTTCAAATTCGGGTTCTGGTCCAGCTGCAACGCAAACGGATCATCCTTCGCCGCCTCGCTCCCATGCGCTCGCGAGTAAAACTTCGTAACTCCCCGACTTTCCGCGTTCTCCTTTCCGTAGAACTTCAAATCGCCCTGCGCATACACCGTCTGCGGCCGCGTCTGCAGCCAGAAATTCACCAAGTCAAAATGATGTGTCGACTTGTGCACCAACAACCCCCCCGAGTTGCGCTTATCCCGGTGCCACCGCCGGAAGTAGTCCGCGCCGTGATTCTCATTCAGCATCCACTCGAAATGCACGCTCGTCACCTTGCCAATCTTGCCCGCTTTCAGTATCTCAAAGATCTTGGTGTTGTGCGGCGCGTAGCGGTAGTTGAACGTCACGCGGACCTTGTTCCCCGTGCGCTCGACCGCCGAGAAGATCTCGCGGCACCGCGGCGCGTCGATGGTCATCGGCTTCTCGGTCACGACGTTGCAGCCGAGCTCGAGCGCGCGCACGATGTAGATGTTGTGCGTGCGGTCGACGGTCGTCACGATCACCTCGTCGGGCTTGGTGTCGGCGATCATCTGGTCGAAGGAGGCGGCGAGGTACGTCGGGACGGCGCCGTGGCCGAGGGATTCGAGCTTGCTGTTGGCGAAGTTCATCCGCGTCTGGTTGGTGTCGCAGAGGCCGACGATGGTGGATGTCGCGCTGTAGTCTTGGGCTATGGCTGTGTAGAAGAAGCTGGAGCGGCCACCGGTGCCGACGATGGCGTAGCGCTTCTTCTTGGTCGTGATGTCGGCCATGTTTGTTGATATTTCGGCGATTTTATTGGTGTTTGATAGAGTTGAGATTCCAACGAGAAACAGGTCTCAACATAGACGTGTGCAAAAGGAAAAGGACCTGAAGTTATTTGCAAGTCTTGGTAACCCCGCGAGGACGTCACGACTCCGAAGAACGGCAATCAACACCCCACGCAGCACGGCATCCGGCACATCGACACCCTCATCTCGGGTCCATCTCCCCCATCCCCCGAGTTTAGCCAAAATACGACCACGACCACGTTTATTGTCTCCTGCGGCAGTTTGAACACCCGAGGCCTGAT